CATGAAGAAGTCCGCTTCTTTGCCAGCCGTCGTCCAACCCCCCAAGCAGCCTAAGCACCGGCCGCCTGGCGGCCGTTTGTGCAAGGGTCGACATATAAGGTTGGTTTGCCATGTTGCCTGGTTTGGGTGAGAAAAGGCTAAACTCATTAAACTAATTAACCAGTCGTTGAAGTCATCTTAGGGATTCCCTTCTTTGGGAACCACCTACCTGCACACTCCTGCCCGGAAGGGGGCGTGGGCTGGAACCTGAGGTCAAGCAGCGAGCGAGCCCGGCACCGGCGGGAGAAGGACAAAGAGAAGGCCATCGGAGGATCAACCTGGTGCCCATTTTATGGCGATGGGGGTAAATTGCTGGCTCACCATGGTTCACTGTTTGATATGGAATTCTCCAATTTGCAGATGACGTCCCGAATCAAAATCGCTTGTTCCTGTAAGGTTAAGGTAGAGCTCCTGGTAAAAACAGAAATTGATGCCCTTTCCAGCAAAGCGAGCGAGCGCCCGGCAGGCTCCCCGGCGCAAGACGAGTCGGCGACTCTGCAGCAGTCCAACTGGGGGTTTCCCAAAATGGTGCCCCCCTCTTTGGGGTGGTTTTGATAGGGACAAGGAACCGTTTCTGCGGGGCCCCCTATTGCTTGAAGGATGGAGTTATTTTGTGATTTTATATGTAAACAACTGCGTACAGGAAACGGCTGGAGCAGAACCAGTCTGATTATCTTTTCGCCGTGGGGCCGCCTCCCCAATGCCCCAATGCCCCAAACCAGAGGGGGTTGAAAGAGACTTGTGGGCAAAGCGATCCCTCCACTTCCACCAAGCCGACAGAGCAGAAGTGCAGCCGCAAATCGCAAATTCTGGCCTCGCGAAGGCTTGGGTTTGCGACTCGCTCTATAAACAATTCTGTGCAACCCTCACCCTCTTAGGCCACTGAGTTATGGTACTTCGCCCACGATCAGCGTTCGTGGGAAGTGTGTTTTTCTTCGGGAGCAGTTTTGGGATCTTGGCGGCACTTGGATGAAGCTTTGCAGATCCATCTTAGGAAGAAAGAGATGACTGAAGCTGAGAAGGTCTCCATGCTGAAGCAGCCCGGCAAATGAAAACGGGCACGGTGTGCCCTACAAAACAGGGAGGAAGAAAAGGTGCTTCCTTCAGGTTTCCCCTTTCACAGCGTCCACCAGGCATGGTGTTCCTAGCTTCGGCAGGCTTGCTCCGCTCAAGGATGACTAGTACTCAAGGGTAGAAAATTGGATGGGCTTCCTTTCAAGTTGTTTGTCTTCGTGAGGCCTTGCGAGCAAGCCCGTTACACCATCCACATCCATGTGCCACGCCAAGACTTTGCTTGGGGTCGATGGGATGATAGGGATGGTCATGGACTCAGGGATTTCAGACCATGCCTCCAGATTCTCATGGGAGCCCATAGCCCAAAGGAGTCTTTTAGCGCCATGATTCCCTGCCCGCATAGGAAGATGAGCGCCTTCGGAAGGCGGAATCCATTCGGCGGAGTTGCCGAAGGCTGGACCGGTTGAGAGAGAAGGTCAGGCGCGTTTGCCACAAGTGGACCCACAATCCATGAGTGAGAAGAACCAACAGATGCTTCAGGTGTGAAACCAAGCAGTTAATGTGTACATCCCGCGGAGGAGTGGACACCTTCCACCATATTGTTACCTGTGCCTGTGGCTGCAAATCAGAAGTTGGCCGCGGACACCTGAAAATGACTAGAGAAAGGTTCGGAGCCACAGAGACAGAAGAAATCCCCTGCACTTCATGTCATGTTCGGATCCACGATACTGCCTAAGGTTACGAGAGGCAGCAGAGAACTTTCTGACGTGCGAACGTCGGGGCTTGCGCCACTCGAAGATTTTCCGGAGCGATGTGTTTTGAGCGTTATGTCTGCTTGGTACCTCCAAGCCCCCACTCCTCGAAGAGGAAGGCTTTTTGTAGGGCTTGAATCTGAATGTGTGACGCTGTGAGGCGCCAGTCACAGGTTGACAGCCCATCCGCGCTGCGAAGCAGCTTTCAAACGGGGGTATTGCGACCGTGTGGACCCAATCGGAACGGCCCGGCCTTGAGGTTCGAAAGGTCCGATTCCAATTGATGTACAAAGCCGAATGCGCCGAACCGGCGATGGAGAAAGGGTGCCCCACTGTTCAGTGCAAGTGGCAAGAGGAGTACATTTGCGGTCTTCGAATTCGGAGAACCCCACAAGGGGCAGATTCCCTCTCTGATTTCTCTTCAATACAAACCCAACAAGGGATGCCTCAAGAAAGACGCGTCCCCGTGGTATGGACTTCTCTAATGTCCAAGCCTGCCGAGGTCCGAGATGGACGAGGACAGCTGGAGAGACGTCTCAGAAGCATTAAATTGCTCCTGTGACGAAGCCTTTCTGTTAAGTGCTTGCTTTGAAGCCTAGCTTTTTTGGGTGGGCCTCGGCATCATACTTAGCCAATGCCGGAGTTAGTGCTGATCACAATTGTCTGAGGGAGGTTCCGCTATGAATCTGGGTGTGGCTCCAAAATAGAGACCTAGGGCAAACCGCCGATTTTAGTCTTTGTTTCGATTTACCAAAGTGCCATTTTAGTGTTCAATTTGTTGAGCCACAGCCATGTCTTGTTGTTTTCTTGTCGCATTCAGCGCAGGACTTGACAGACGGAGCGAGCGCAGAGCAAAAAGTGGTAGGTTCGATATTGAGTAGAGCAACACGTCGATGTGTCAAGCATTCTTTTTGTTCACAGAATGGGTGTGTCAAAAGGGTACTGAAGTGTGTTCCCAGCATTTTTGTTGGTGGCCCCTTGACACCACGGCCAACGGCATTTGTGCCAAACATGCTTTTGGAAACGGTTGATAGGGATCCTTCAGCAAGCATTTGAGACCGCCATTTTAAGGGTTATGTTCATGAATCCGTGACTGGGGTCCATGTCAGTGACCTGCTCGAAGTTCACCTGGATGTTTTAGGGGACACCCAGGAGTTTTGGGCTTCGCGCCCTGCAGCTTTCAGGGTATGAGGTCTGAGATGAAGCTATGCGATTTGAATTACAACATATGAAAAAGAGTACTAACCTTTTACGGAGATTTATTGGCGGCGCATGCGCAGGCCGAGCGGGCCGATCTCCAGCTCGCGGCGGAGCTGGAACTGAGGCGGGTGCCTCCGGCCATGGAGATGGCCACCACACGGGCGCGTCATTTTGGAGGGCGCCGCCTTTTTTCTTGTTGGTTGTTCTTCCCCCCCCCCCCCCTTTTTTTCCGGTGGTTTTGGGGGAGGAGCAAGAAAAAACGTGCCTGGGGGGGTACCTTGCACAAAGAGACGCCCAAATGTGCATGTCTGTTTGCGGAAGGAAGCCCGGCGTTCTGTTCGCTGGCCAGGCTCTCTGTTGCGTCGAAGTCGCGGCCAAAAGAGCGGCGCTTTGGGCCTTCGGGGCCGTGGGGGGACCTTGGGGGGAGGCGTGCGGTTTGGGACGCCGTGCAAAACCTTGAGCTGTGCGCCTTCGAGGGGCGCAGAGAATCTGGGCTTCGGAATGAAGGCTGCAAGGGCGGCGTATCGCACACGGCAGATCTCGGCTCCAAGCTTGGGCCTACCCGTCAAGATGGCGGAGGACAGCCGCTCATACATGGCGTTTTCCAAAGGGGATAGCAATGCTGCTCAGTGTTGAGTCTCTCAAATCCTCTTAAACGTGTTGCTCTCGTTGTGTGTGCGTGTGCTGCAGAAAGTGAAGTGATGCGTCGTGGTATCTTTCTCATCTTCCTTCCCAGCCGAGGGAAGGGAGATGAGGACACGAACAGAAAGGTGTCATTTCCTTGAAAATGGTTCTCTCTTCCACTCTCATCCCATGTCAATCTCTATTTATCATCTAATATGTCAACCGAGATCCCCAGCCTTCCCTCTCTCGTCAGCTCGTCCTTTCGTGAGAGGTGACCACGAAGCAAGATACATTTGTCATAATCATTATTGCAAGCTTGTACATCAAGGGCTGGATGCCTGCCTACTGCTAAGATCCATCCCATGTTTCCAAAATGCCTTCGCGGAAGCTTCCCAGGTGCAGGGTGGACTTTTTCATTGGCCATGGGGGGCCAATCACAAAATCGGACCAGCTTGTTGACATGTCTTACCGGGCTCCGCGAAGAGCCACGACGGCATCCGTCGAGGTTGTATCGCATAGGAAATCGTGCCAGAAGGGGTCGGCAGATGTGACACACCTCGCCAGGCAGTTGCTGAAAGATGGTCAACACCTTCGGTTTGGATTGTTTTGCGACGCATCTCCTTTTTGATATCCAAAAAGAGAAGCAATTGCGAGGAAAAAAAGGCTGAATTCTACTAGGTGGGCGAGCACTAATTTACCCGTGTCAATGCCCGATTTGGACGCGCGTACAGTCAGATCCCTTTCCTTGGGGTTGAATGGCACCCCGGAATTTGCTGGGGATTCAGACAACCAATGTAAAGGTTCCAATTTTGGTGTAACCAACGCCACACCCAATTCTATAGACTAAGATGAGCCAAGAAATATCCTTATTGAGAGGAGTCTTGTTGTTGTTGTTGTTGTTGTTGTTGTTGTTGTTGTTGTTGTTGTTGTTGTTGTTGTTGTTGTTGTTGTTGTTGTTGTTGTTGTTGTTGTTGTTGTTGTTGTTGTTGTTGTTGTTGTTGTTGTTGTTGTTGTTGTTGTTGTTGTTGTTGTTGTTGTTGTTGTTGTTGTTGTTGTTGTTGTTGTTGTTGTTGTTGTTGTTGTTGTTGTTGTTGTTGTTGTTGTTGTTGTTGTTGTTGTTGTTGTTGTTGTTGTTGTTGTTGTTGTTGTTGTTGTTGTTGTTGTTGTTGTTGTTGTTGTTGTTGTTGTTGTTGTTGTTGTTGTTGTTGTTGTTGTTTTGTTGTTGTTGTTGTTGTTGTTGTTGTTGTTGTTGTTGTTGTTGTTGTTGTTGTTGTTGTTGTTGTTGTTGTTGTTGTTGTTGTTGTTGTTGTTGTTGTTGTTGTTGTTGTTGTTGTTGTTGTTGTTGTTGTTGTTGTTGTTGTTGTTGTTGTTGTTGTTGTTGTTGTTGTTGTTGTTGTTGTTGTTGTTGTTGTTTTTTTTGCGAGGGCGTGTGCGTATTAGTTCAATCGGGAAACTAAAGGCTGTTGTTGTTTTTTTTTGCTAGGGCATGTGCGTGTTAGTTCAATCGGCTGCCCTGGAAGCGTTGCCAGGATAGGGCTGGCTATGTCAGCGCAAATCTCCCAAGCGACGAGTTTATTGACAACTACGCGAAGAAGTTTTGCTGCTGCATACCTCTGCTTTTTCTGACCCTCGTTCCCTTCTACGCATTCTTCTACGGTGCCATACCGGATGCGGCTTGTCAAGAAGGAAGGTGCCAGATGCTCGAGCTGTCAAAGCTTCCAGGGCTTGGGTCATAGTTAGGGGCCACTGAACAAGGGCCCTCATGGTAGGTCTAAAATCCCAATGGATCCATGACCATCCCTACCAAACGTGAGCAAAGGGTGTTTTGACAGCACATGCTCAAGCGCCGTCTTCAGATCCTCAAACGCATGGCCCTGCCAAGGCTTCCAAAGTGGAGCCGCACACCTTTCTGGTGGGAGCTGCTGGTTGGTGGGTGGCGCTCATCTTGAGACTGCCGGTTGGCTTGGCAGCAAAGGCCGGTGCTTCAGATTGGCCAGCTGCCACAACAAACGAACTCTCTGAGGATTGATGACCTTTCCATACGTTGTGTGTACCGCAGTTGGTTGAACAATGCAAATTGGTTGTTTAACGAAGGGCGTTGGGCGCGTTTTCTGCTGAGCAGGCTTGCCTGAAAGACACCGAGTCCCTGCAGTTGGCCTCGGTGCTTATCTCTGGTCCAGCAGAGGAGGGGCCAGGGCCCGCAGAGGTTTTCCGAGAAGAAACCATTTGAAGGGGGCTGGTGGACCTTGAAATCCCCACCCAAACCATGCACACCAAAGGCTCCCTTGATTGTTATGCCCACAGGAACCGATTCTAAACGTACACCAGGAGGGTGTGCGCGTGGCAGTGCTGGTGGTGGCAAACTGGGCACAGTTGTCCCACGCCTTCGCCCTAGGCCGGGAGGGAAGGTGAAAAGAACTTGCCACTTGGGACCTTCGCAGGCATTGTCCTTTTGCTGAGCAGGGCAATTACCACGCGAAGCGTTGATCGGCATCGTGTTCACCTTTGTATTGAGCTCCCTTAAGCCTGGTTCCTGCTCTTCTTTCCATCCTCTTCCCCACTTTTTCGTTTGAACTTCGCGTGAGTCTGTGGCCCGCGAAATGCTTGCCTCGTTAAAGCTTGCTTGTATCACACCCTGGGATTTCATCCTGAAACACAAACAAACACAAAAGGTGCGACATTGGCAAGAGTAATCTGGAATTGCGTATCGACCCACCCAATTCACGCGGAGGGTTCGCCACGCTCAAGAACAAGTTGCATTTTTAGGAAAATTTGGCCAAGTTACGCCGTGGGAACTCTAAGCAAAATTAAGCAGAATCCCGGCCGTGCGAAGAAGCAGCGCGGAAAACAAACCGAGACAAGCATAACCGCTCGCCGCAAGCAATTCGGCCGGAATTCCGCTACAACGGCTTACCGATGCACGGGAAATGCGACCTCGAGACTATACCGGTTTATAACATAATACTATAAATAAATTTTATCAAAACTTAATATGTTCATATCAAAATATTTAACACTTTAAAATCTATATTAATTAACATAATATCATTATTTTCAATCTTTAATTCCTAATATTCAAAATCAATATATACCTTATTTTAAAACAGAATTAATATAATTATTTTTAACTACACATTTTCTCTAAATATAAAATTCACTATTTTAATATCAAATAATCTCGACCCCCAAAGAAAGGCCAAACACACTCAAATCTAATTTCCTAAAATTATATTTGATTTTTTTTCTTACCAAATTCTACAACCCATCACCCCCCATACACCCTTCATTCATGCCTACTAACCTTAAAATCCTATCCGACAAACCTTTACTTTTTTTGCACAATTCATCAATCATATTTTTTATTTATTTCCTGAAATTTGTGCACAGCGACCTTCCTGATCCATGAAGAGGGTTGCGTGTTGATTACCCCCGTCGCCGCTACCTGACTCCGGTCACAAGACCAAAGACTCGAAACGAGTAAGCTTGCGTTTGTGTGTGTGTGCGCGCGCGACATACTGAAGTTACACCGGCACAGTTTGCAATGTTTTTGACAGTTTAGCATGTGTGTTCAAGGCGTTTTTTTCAGAAGGGACAAGCCCTTTGCGAAGCCCTTCAAGATCCCATCCATTCCCCAAAAACGGACCCTTTTAGGCTTCACTTTTTTTCCCCTAAACCCCCGGCTTCCCCTTGGGCGAGGCCTGGGCTGGACGAGCCTGGAGCTGCTCTTCACGCTGGCCCAAGGCTACGCCACCATCCAGCTGCTGCGCGGCGCCCGGCAGGGCGATGCAAAGGCTGCCGAGGCGCGGCCCCTCCGCGGGCTCCGCGGGCTGGCGCGCGGAGTTTTTTTGTTGAATGTGTTTTTTTGAGGTGGGTCTCTGGGACCGAGGTTTTGGGCTGTTGTTTTTTCCTTATTTTTCTTTTTTTCTCGTATCCTCTTCGCTGAGAAAGCTTGAAGGGGAAACTATGGACAATGATGTTTAGGGAAGCTGTTGCTGGTTTTGAAGGGACACCGAGTTGAAAGATGTTGACACCAAAACCTATGTTGTGGGTGAATCATCTTCCCATGTTCTGAGAAACCCACTGGGACCAGCTCATCTTCATCCTCCAGCGCTTGGTGCTTGCGCAGGCCTTCGAAGTTCTCGCGGCGCAATCCAACGGAGAGCCGTTCGCAACGAGCCCGTTTTGGGGCGTCCTGGAGCGAGTCAGCGCGCACATGCTGCACATTGCGCTGCCGGGGACCTGGCATGTGTGAAGTGGATCGACCGTGAGTCCCGGGCGGGATGGTTTTGATCATCGCTGAGTTGTCGGGTGCTTGTTTGGGCTGAGGAACCGGCGAATCTGAAGCAAGAGGGCCCGTGTCAAAAGGTTTGCAAGATGGCTGTGCTTCGAAAGGCCAGGGGGTCGTAGATTTAAGTTGAGTCGGAGGTCCCTTGCGTTGAAAACCGTTCTGCTTTACTGCAACTCAATCAGGAGTACAAAACAAAGAAGATATTAAGATTATTAAGATCGAGGGAAGCAGCCTTGTGAGCTTAGAAACGCACAGCCAGCTTGTTGGGTGGCAAACACGCCAGACTCGCTAGCTGAACAAAAACGATAGCAACACGAAATCAAACACGGTTTGAGTTTAGCACAGAAATCGTGCAGGCCTTTGACCACATCCACGCGTTTCCTGAGTGCAACAGCTGAACAGTCCAAGCTTGAAGGTCACGATTTCGAGGTTGAAAGTACAGAGAGCGGAACACACTGCAAGGAGTCGAGCAAAAAAGAATAATCCCAAAAGGGAACTCCAAAAGGAGTGAGGCTTTTATGCAGTCGAAGGGAGTTGCGTAGGAATCTCCTGGCAGACCCACGGCGGGAACCGGGCAGTTTGGCCGTTGACAATGGCATGTGTTTGGGATGATCATTATGACTTAATCATCAAGTTGTGAAGCTTGAATCTGGCTCTTGGAGTGGTAGATCCCCCTTTGTTTCGGGAGAGCGGTGCAAAAAGCTATAACCCCTCACATGGTGCGGGAGGTTGCCAAACATATGGCCTTGTTTTGGACCTGTCCCTCGTCTGAAGGAGAACCTTAATCAGTTTCCCAGGTTGGTCCGCTTGTCGTTTATTCCCCGGAATCTCCCTGAGCCCAGGAAGCCCCCGAATGACCATCGCCTGGTTGTTCTTTTGACGGGAAAACGGGAAAGCCCAAGTCGGATTCCTAAGGAGAGGCCCAGATGCAACTGTCGACAGGTCGCTCTACGTGGCGTACAACCCGTGGCTGGTCTTTGCCACTGCCCCGGGGCACTCTCTCACCAATTGGTCAGTGCTGACGATGATGAAAAAGTTCGGAATCGCAGCGGTGGCTCCCCGGAGCCAAAATCGTGGTTGTCCTTTTGGTTTCCCTCAAAACCCACCGAAAATTGGGTACCAGGACTTGGTTCCCCCAAAGAAGCGTGTTTTTGAAGGAAACGGGAATCAACTCCCTGTTTGGTGTTCACCAGTGTGAGACACATACACACACAAATTTATTGCTGGTACTGTTTGTGCCTCTGTCTATCAACTGGGAAACCAGCTCCAGTGATTCGGCAAAGCTTAAACCGCAGGCCTCACAACAATCCTTCTGCGGCTCTCAACTGATGAAGAAGAGGCGGCTTTTGAATCCGAGGAGGTGGGCTTCTTTGTGATGGCGTTGGCCTTCTTTGTGGCTGCGCTGCTGCTGTGGGGCTTTCATTTTTAAAATTTCGATGTGCGCCGGGAGATCCGTGGTAGTTCTCCAGTGCGGAATGAGGCCCGAGCAGGTTTCACCAGGTGCCTTGCATGCTGCTGGAGTTGCAGACTTGTTGGCACGCAGATTGGTTGAAACAACTCTTCGCAACCAAGGCTGCTCATGGTTTTGCAAGCCTTGAGGTCGGTGCGAGAGGATGATGTGCGTTTCGTAGCGCCCGTATTTGGCTCAGCCATAGGGCCGACATTATCCGATTGAAATCCTTGCGGAGTGACATGAACCTTTGTCCTTGGCAATTTCAGATCTAACTTTCAAGGGCTTCCCGCGCAACATGCACCCAGCCCCACAAGCAAATCCCTTCGGTTCGCCACGGCGGTTTCAAACAGCCCGCCCGCGCATTTGGCGCAGCTGGCATGGCGAAGAAGGAGGCCGACGTTGGTCGCTTTTGAGCCTTTTGCTTGTGGCGTTAGCCGAGATTTGTTCGGCGGTTGGATGCGTTTGTCTCGCTTGCCGCCCGAACTGCTTGGCTCGAGAAAGGATGTGGCTAAGCACGGAACGGGCATAGGGATGAGTCCGCAGCATATGCCTTTGAAGGAAGAGCATCCTGTTGTAGTCTAAGAATGTCTAAGAGCGACCACTGGACCGGTGCCATGTGTGGAAAGTAAGCTTCAGACTCGCACCTTACCTCAACATGAAATTGCATGTTGCCCAATGCTCTGTGGGCGTGTGGGGTGAGCCATGGTGTACCATGAGAGGACTTTGTCCTCTCCCCTTACCGCCTTTCCGCGGAATGATCCTTGGCTTGGTTTCACAGCGGATTATGTGGGTCATACGCTTGTTGCCCTTATCCAGAGCGCCAATTGGCCCCTGGCACTGGATGTAGAGCATACCTGGATCGCCAGTTGCTGCTTTTCTTATCAACTGTGACTGTTGTTAGGGCAAAGTGTCTGGAAAGCAGCAGCAACTTGGCTATCTAGGAAATGCATGGCAATGCATGTTGGAAGTTCCCCATGTTTTTGCTGAAGGTGCGGGACGGCTTTCGTTGGACACGCAAGGTGATGCAGCCACAAGCGTTCTCGCAGGTGATGCATGAGCCAGGACCTCAGCAGTGTTTGCGCGTTTGCCCCGGGAGAGCGCCCAAACTCCTCGCTGCAATGGCAATGCGTGGTGTTCTACAAGCGATTTGAATGTGTAGTTAGGCCTACCCAAATCTTCGTAACCACAAACTGTGGAGCCAAATGGCGCTTTCCGCTCAAGTGGTACCTGAGGTACGGGTGCTTAGGAAGGAATGTGGAGGAGAAGCTGTGCCTGCATGCGCCAAAGAAGCACTCCACAAAGAAGCAGTACCTGTCACCCTTTCGCTTGGACGCTTGGCGCGATTCGACCTCGCAGGTCTTGTCAGAACTCCCCCTTCCATTTCCGGTAATGTTCACCCCCAGATGTTTGAACTCAGTTCTTCATCAGGATCCTTGTTTCAGGGGAATTCCCGATTAGAAGTGTTTTTTTTTCTCAATCAGGGCTTGGCATTACCCCGATGGTTCAGACGAGAGGGCGGTGTCCGGTTCTGTTTCCAAACGGTTTGGTTTCTGCGTGGTTCGGTTTGCACAATTCAATTTGTTTGCAGGATTTATTTTGCGTTGCAAGGCAGACTCGGCAAGGGTTGAGGTGGTGAATTGTCGAGCGCCATGAGCAGAGCCGCTTGTATTCGCAGAACATGCTTATGCTGGACAGAGCTGGCTAATATTGGCTATTGCCACACCCAGGGGCTGGTTGGCTTCAACAGTGAGAGAATCGGTTCCGCCCGCTGGTTGCCATGCTTGAGTTTGAGTGCTGGGGGCAAAGAATCCAGATCTAAGCCTCCACCCTCGAGGCTGTGAAGGCTGTTGGACCGTCTTGCACTGAGCAACAGGTGCTGAGAGAACCAATGCTGAGGAGGCGAGTTGCCTCTTGCCTTCTCCACTTAGCCTTTCTAAGCTTGAGATTCTCACCGCCGCCGTATGCTAGGCAAGTCAAGTTCAAAGCGTTCTAAGACAATTCCGCCAAGAAGGTTCGATCACGCGACCTCTTCGACCGGGTCGGTGTACATCCCGTTTTCGGTGTTTCTTTTTCCAAGGAGGTTACCTCCAAGTGGGTGGCCGTCCGGAAGCCCCTGCCGGAGCCCAACCGCACTCCGCGAGTGGGGCATGCCTTCCACACCAAGGAGAGTGCGACTGTGAAATGGGGTGTTGGAGAGCAGTTTTGGGGTTCTCCACGTTCAAATCAGAATAAACGTCAGAGTCCTGCTTTGAAGATCACTTGGAGGGAAATCACGGGAGTAGATTCCAATTCGGGGCTCAGACTTGGATTGCTCTGGCTGGAGTAGCTGGAAACTGATGCGGCATCTTTGGTTGCGGGAAGGCGCCAAATGCACGGGTCGCCCACTTGACCCTTTTGGGAGCCCCCCTTGACTAGCCAGCGCATGACAAGGGTCTCAAAAAGGGCCTAGCCGTCAGGAGGTCATTGCTCGTGCTCGGCGGCTCATCATCAACGCCAAGGATGGGCTCAAAGCGCCCCAACAGATCCCCAACTTGATTCGCCTTTTGGAAGACTGGCAGCAACTGCTGCCACAAGGGCTCAGGGGAGAGTTGGACATGTGCATGTCCATATCGTTTCAGGGCTCCAATGCCACGCTGAGTGCTTTCAAGCTATGTCGAAGATGCGACAGCATTGGGTGTGCTTGTTTTGAGGGTACCCTTTTGGGGAAGTTTAAAGGGAACCAAATGGGGACGGACAACTCATTGTGGGGTGCAAGCCATGTGGCAAGGTTCGGCCGAAACATCCTGAATGTCAGCCAAACCAAACAGGCGTAATCTCTCCCAAAACACACTCCGTTGGGAGAAAACTGGCATGGGGAGTCTCTTTCTTCTTCTTTTTTTTTCCGTTTGTTTTTTGCATTTTGTTGTTTTCTTTTGTTTTGTTTTTTTTTTTGGGGGGGGGGGGGGGTGCTTAAAGCCCCAGGGGTACCCTGAAAAAGCAAGCACATCGTGGCAGGCGCAGTCCGGGCTGTCCTGGGATCAGATCTTCGCCTCGCACGACCTGGAGCTGAGCTTTGAGGAACCTCCGCTTTGGGGGAGCGGGAGGGTTCGTTGAAATTGGTGTCATTTTCCTATTAATACATACGGTCCCCCCCCCCAACTATAAAAACAAATCCTCCCATCTTTTATATTTTGTCTTGGGGGGGTGAGATTATGGGAGACCCCAAGAATTGTTGCGGACTTTCCAGAAAATGCGCCGCCAAATTGGGACCGTTCTTTGGGACAATGCCAGACAAATGGGTTTGAAATAGGGTTAAGAAGCAAAGAAAGTCGCGGGGTCCGAAAAGCGGCGCCCCGTGTGAACAATCCTCGGGAGGGTTGAGCGTTCACTGCTTTCAGTGCAAGTCGTGACGCCTCGATGCACCATTTCGGAAGGCTCTCAAAGACTGTCTGCGGCGGGATCTGGCGATTTCGCCCAAGGCTCTGGCTGACTTGGACATTCAGGCATGTGAGCTGCGTCAGCTTTGTTGTTTGTTTGGAGTGGGAAGGCATAGGAGGCATGCGAGTCATTAGCGGCATGGGAGGCATGAAGCGGGTGTGCCGGTAGGTGCTGTTTACAGAGTTGGATGCCGACAAGAGCGGAACCGTGAACATCAAGGAGATGCTGAGCTATGTCGCTCATGGCCCCAAGCGACCCTGGGCTTGCAGCTTTTGTGGGGACTTCTTTGGGTTGCGTCAGAAAGCACCCAGGGACTTTGAACTCGGGAAGGACCAGAGATTCTCCGATTTTGGCACGGCCGCTTTCAGGAATCCACGATGAGAATGCCATGTTACTGAAGCGCACGGCGAGGGTGCGAAGAAATATGTGCCTCAGAATGCAAGAGTGCGACCGTCTGTTCGCAAAAGCATGCCGACATTGCTTGCCGCAAGGAACATGGCGTGCCGCAAGTTTGCCACGCGGCTGCCAGCGCTTTTGGTTGATGTGCGGTTCTTCTCTCTCGTCGTTCATTGGGGGGGGGGGGGGTGGGCGGGGGCTTTTCTCAGGTGCCGTTAGAGGAAATGTCTGGGCAATATGCAGTTGCTCAGGCGGGGCTGAAGAACATCACATCTGAGAGCGTCTCGAAGCTCTTCAAAATGTTAGATTGCGAAGGGGATGGCAAGCTGTCCAAGCACCTCGGAAGCGGAGGGTTTTGAGCATCCCAAATCATGGAAATGCACAAAGGGGGATATAGAGGAGGCCAACGGATTCGCGGAAATGCCAACTTCACTTCGGTCAGTCCCTGGAGCAAGCTGTTTTGCCCATCAAACTGACTCGCTTTTGCCTTGCGCTGTCCATGCCAAAGAAGTCTCACCAAATGCACCCAGAAGGCGGCTGAGTTGAAAGCCAAGCTTGTCAGTTAGATGCAGGCGAGTCAGAGTTGCATGATGGCTTTTGCCAGGCTAGTGGGATTTGTTCAAATCGACTTGGATCCGTTTAAATTGTTTTTGAGTGGATCTATAGGGAGACCGAACAGGAGAGCTAATGAATTGGAAGGGATCGCGATTTTTGCAGAACGCCCAAATAGACCCCTTGGGCCCGCAGATGTTGCGTGAAATGTTCAACCGAGACTCGCAGCCAACTCAGCTAAGGCACGAATTCTTGGAGTTTGTTCGCGAAGGCTTGGGGCTCTCCATGTGGGATGTGCCAGAATCCGAGCTTCTCCAGCGCCTCGATCCCAAACGCGCATTTGTGACCCTCATTGCTCGATTTCTCCCAAAAAGGAAATATGAGGACCAGTGTCATGGCCACGTATCGCGTACTTTTCTTTGGGTGGCCAGCTGATCAAGCTGTTGGAGGTTTAAGGTTTGCAGCCTGCCAGATCAAGAAAAAGAGGGAGTGAGAAGTTGAGGTTTTACAATGTGCTGGACAAGGATAACGACGGCCTTGATCCTTTGGAGCTCTTGGTCTTCATCCAGGGCAACCAGGAGGACACTTGGAGCTCCTGCGGATGCGTGATTGCAGTTACCTGGATATACGAAATCCTTTCAAGTGGGTGCATGGCACGAGGTGATTGTTGACAGGAGGTTTCGCAGGAACCAAGGACGAGTGACAATCGGCACAGCGCGAGCAATAATTCATTCATAAGATACACAGACCCTTGCAGCATGGTCACAGAAGCAAAGATACGTGTTCACAGAGACACAAACAAACAAGCAAGCAAACAAACAAGCAAGCAAACAAACAAGCAAGCAAGCAAACAAGCAAGCAAGCAAACAAACAAACAAACAAACACACAAACACACAAAGAAACAAGCTGTTTGCTTGCTTCCTCGCTGTAGTGTCCCACAGCCTTCTCAGCAAAGCGGCTGCGCGCGCTCGCAGCTAAGTGCGGGGCGGAAAGTGATATATCTCATCTCCAAAAGGACTGCAGATCTCTGATCAATCTGCGACCCCAAAAAAGCACATGGGGGCTAGGCCCAGTACAAGTCCCCTCTAATGGGCACAGCGCGCAATCCCAGTACGGTGTTCCCTGAAGCAATCTGCGACTGAAAGTTGCAAAACCACTCGGTAAGACAAAACAAACACACAAACAAACAAGCGAACAAACAAACAAAAAACAAACAAACAAACAGCGGAAAAAGAACAAACAAGCAAGCAAGCAAACAATCAAGCACGCAAACACAAACAATCGACCAACCAACCGAACAAACAGACAAGCAAGCAAACAAGCAAAGCAAACAAGCAAGCAAGTAAATCAACAAACAAACAAACACACAAACGCGCAAACACACCACACACACACACAAACACTCAAACGCACAAACAAGCACACAAACACCAACCAACAAACCCAACCCAACTAGCCAACCAAGCAACCAACCAGCCATCCAACCAACCAACAAAAACAAACAAACAAACAAACAAACAAACAAACAAACAAACAAACAAACAAGCAAGCACACAAGCACACACACACACACACAAACAAACCAAAAAGAAACACAAACGCTCTTTCAACTTTTTGCGTAAGCCAGCCGGGCTTTCTTGCAGCAGATACTCTTGCGATACGAGGCAAAATAACAGATTTGCTCTTGCGTTCCTAACTCGTTCTTGCGTTTCTGACTCATCTCACGCGCTGCCGGCGCTGCACATTCATACTTCCACATTGGGCTGTGGCGAAGCCTGTGCGGACTCATTGCTCGTGAGCTTTGCAGGGGGTCAAGCACCGCAGAGTTTCCTGTGCCTTCACGCCAGCCCGGGCAATCTCCACGCAGCCATAGGAATGCACTTGTTGATGTTGATGTGCGCTTTGGCAAAGATCGTGGCTGTTGATCCTCGACCCACATTCCGAAAGCCTTCTCAGCACGAAGAATTTGGGCATTACCCTCCCTTACATAATATGCTTTTTGGGCCATCTGCAATGGTAAGTGGACTCGAAGAAATGTACTGTTGCTTTGAGCTGGCGCAGGATTGTCGACCTGACTTGTGCCTGTGTTGCTTCTTCCAGACCTTGAAGCACCTCTAGAAAACAGGTTGATGCACCTGCACTCCATGTGGGCCAAATGTCTGTTGGTTGCCCCCTTTTAAGGTCGCAAAGAAAAAAGTAGCCTCAAACAAAGGCACAGCCGTGTCAGAAGAGTTTTACCCGTGCAGGAGATGGCCAACAGGAAGCTTTTCTCCTTCGTTGACACGGCGGCGCACAGCGAAGACCGGCCTCGACACTTGGCAGCCGAAGATGGGGGAGTCTTGGGATTTGGTGCGCTTGGGGTTGTTTGCAGCGGAAGCCAAACCCCATGGCTCCATTTATTCCCGGAAGCATTGCGAAGGGTTCTTCTTCTAAAAGCGGCTGCAAACTTCACCTGCCAATTTCTCATGCCAACTTGTCGAGAGTTACTTCACCTGCCAACTTCTCATGCCAACTTTTCGAGAGTTACTTCACGATTTACTTCACTATCCTAAAAACAATCTTCTTCATTTTCTGGCGGGGGTAGGCCCGACGGGAGCTTACGAAACGCACTCCTCTGCGGGGATCGTGCGTGTCGGATCGCTCTCGCTGTGGTCCCGTGCGAATCTGTCTTGAGCCCGATGAACCCTCTGCGGAGATCGTGCGTGTCGAAGCGCTTTCTCATGCCGAAATTTCGAGAATTACTTCACCTGCCAGAATCTCATGCCACCTTTTCGAGAGTTACTTCACCTGCCAACTTTTCGCGCCAACTTTTCGAGATTACTTCACCTGCCAACTTCTCGTGCCAACTTTTCGAGAGTTACTGCACCTGCCAGCTTCTCATGCCAACTTTTCGAGAGTTGCTTCACCTGCCAACTTTGCCTGCCAACTTTTCGAGAGTTGCTTCACCTGCCAGCTTCTCACGCCAACTTTTCGAGAGGTACTTCACCTGGCAACATCGCCTGCCAACTTTTCGAGAGTTACTTCACCTGCCAACTTCTCGTGCCAACTTTTCGAGAATTACTTCACCTGCCAACTTCTCACGCCAACTTTCCGAGAGTTACTTCACCTGCCAACTTTTCTTTTGAGTTACTTCACCTGCCAACTTCTCACGCCAACTCTTTGAGAGTTATGTCACCTGTCAACTTCTCATGCCAACTTTTCTCTTGAGCTACTTCACCTGCCAACTTTTCGCGCCAACTTTTCGAGATTACTTCACCTGCCAACTTCTCTTGCCAACTTTTCGAGAGTTACTGCACCTGCCAGCTTCTCATGCCAACTTTCCGAGAGTTGCTTCACCTGCCAACTTTGCCTGCCAACTTTTCGAGAGTTGCTTCACCTGCCAGCTTCTCATGCCAAGTTTTTGAGAATTACTTCGCCTGCCAACTTCTCATGCTAACTTTTCGAGAGTTACTTCACCTGCATCAACTTGCCACTATGCTTCCGGGCCACTCGTCGTCTAGTTGTTGGTGTTTTTTTTGGTGGGGGGGGGGGCGAAGAGACAAATCTTTCTCATTGCTCGAACTTTGGTAGTTAGTACCTTTATCCTGGAACACAATTCTGCAAGTTGCTTCACCTGCAAACGTGGATCACGTTTTGCAATCGGTCAAAAGCCAGGAATTTGGAAATGCGAAAAGTTCCTTAGGAAGCCAACAAGTGAGCACATGGAGTAGCATGACTCTGAAAGTTTTCCCAGGTATATTTTGCCAATGCTCTTTGACATGTAACCTTTTCACCCTTGGACACACGTTTGTTTCCCCACCAACAGCAAAGGTGATTGCAACCCAAACAAATGAAACTGTCCCTTCATGAGAACCCCAGACCCAGGAATCAAGGCACTCTACCATGTATCATCAATAATGCATCATCGACCTCTCATAGCGCTTGGGCTTTTTGACAGATTGAAGGTTCCGCTGGCAACCACAACATCGCTCGCACTCCTTTTGCGGCAACGGAGCCCTGAGCTCAAGTCCGGCCAGTTGACCCACCGAGTTACGGCACATGAGGTCATCACCACGAGGCCTCGGCTCCTGGCCAGAGCCACGTCTTCCGGAACAGCGGGCGCTTGCGGCCCCCGTCCATGCGATTGCCCAGCGCCTTGACAACAGATCTGTGTGTGTGCCCGTTTTCGTTGGGTGCCCCCCTTTTCAGGTTGGTTGAAAGGGAAACCGAAAGGACGACCATGTTCGATGACCCCTGTTTTGGCACATACCCAGATGTGGTTTCCAGGGGACCCAAACGTTTGGGCGCATCCTTTCATTTCTGAGACAGCCTTGCTGGAGAAAAATGAAAGAAACATGTTTGGCCGTCCCTGTTTCTATGAGCATTTTATTGGAAAGATGTATGGACACCCCTCTTTTTTACGACCATTTAGTTGGAAAGCATCCCCTTTTGAGACCTGCGGTCTTTTCAAGTTGTGAATGTATTTTAACGACTTCCCTTGCTTTGAATCGAAAGACCCATGGACACCCTCAAAGTGTAAGTCTCCTTTTGGCGGTATGCCAACCTCCTCCCCGGCAAAAGGGGCAAAGGGACAGCCCTGGCACCTCAAAGCAATTATCCATGTTGTGGCGCAGGGCTTGTTTTTCTTTGACAAGGATACCATCCAAGAGGGTCGAAATATTCCAGGACAATGTCCAAGCCGAGCCTGCAAGTCAGAGATGACGAAGAGCTCATGCGTTGTTTTGTGTTTTCCCCCCTTTTTTGTTATTTGTGTGTATGTGTGTGGAGCGTGGGGTGTCCCTGGTAGTGTTCGTGTTTTCCACTGGTCATGATGCAGGGCCAAAGTTGGGGTTTGTGATTCGACTTTCGCTGCTGGGGACTCAGTGCGATCCGAGACAAGACATAAACCTCTCCCAGCTTGGCTTCTGAGAGGGTCATGACCTATGGCGATTTAAGCTGTCTCAGAGAGAGCAGCTTCATGTCCATCGCCCAAGGCGACGGCAAGTAGTGACAGCGCCTTTCAGCAAAATGACTCCGATGGGCTTACCCAAGAGACGTCGAGCAAGTGTGCAAGTGCACAAAACCATTTTTGTTTGGTTATGTGTGGAACTACCACTGCTACCATTGCTGGTCAATTGGACAAGAGTTCTTCCAATTGCGCTCTTGCCATGTTCAAGTTGTTTCTCCAAACCAAAGGGCTCCATCGATGTGTCAGGCCCTTCAGAGGACGGTGGTCATTGATGCCAGGCTCATAGTGCAGACCAAGGGAACGCAGTATCATTTACTGTTGCGCTGTTGGGGGCAGCTGATCCCTGCTTGCCGGGGCCACCGTCTGCAGCAGCAGCAGGCATGAGAGTGTTTGCCTACGCTTCGAGGTTGGAAGCGGGAACTGCAAAGCGGGACTGGCTGGTGAGGACGTGGATTGTCAGATGCAGTTGACGGAGAGTGTTTGCAGCGCAGAAACCTCTATTGGCCATTTTAGGCGGTTCTGGAACTTGACTTCATGGGGTTGGACGTAAGCCATCCCCACCCACAAACCCGACACGGCAAGCCAACCACCCACCTGTGTGGCGATACTAAAAGCTCGGGGTTTGGCGCTCTTTTTGGATCAGGAGGCTCCGAGCTGCATGTTTCCATCCATCATCGGCCGGCCAAAGACAGTTCGGGCCTAAGACGAGATGAGACGCGGAGGATCCAGCTGTGTCCTTTTTCAGGGACCTATAAAATGTTCTTTTGATTTTCCCTTTAAGTGGTACTCTCAAAAAGAGACAACCCCATGTACAATCTAGAGGTAAACATGGCTACCTGTAGTGGCAACTGGATTCTTTGGATGGTTGCACTGTTTTGCTTGCAGGCATCTCAGTTGCCAGGCCAATGTCATGCAGGGCTCGGGCGACCGGGAGCAGTACATCGGACATTTGACTGCAAAGTGAATCAGGGCAGATCCCGAACAACACTTGCGCCTCAGGCCAGTGGAGCTTCAAGAAACTGCGGTCCTGTTGGTTGACCCATTTGGGAACAAAGCCATTTGTTGGCTTGTCCCCAAGATCGCTGTCACTTTGGGGTCACTTTGGGGTCGGTCCTTGGGAGGTGTGAGATGGGCGGTGGCCGGGTGAGGAGATGAGGCGCAAGCCAAGCGCGGCATCCTGAAAATCTCCTACCCCGTGGAGCACGGCATCGTGCAGGCCGGAGTCAGTTCCGCGAATAAGGGGGAGAAGTGTGAAGGTCTGGCTTCTGTTCGCGCACAGAAAGTCTTTGAAGCCAACCAAAGGAAGTGCAAAGCTTTGGATTGCCCAATGGTTCAGCAAGTCAAGCTGAATGATCAGTATGCTCTCCAGATCCCAAAACGGTAGGTTTCCCTTTGGCTTCCCTTTGAAAACCCACCTGGTTTGCCAAACTTCGCAAAACCGAGCGCATTCTGAGGACTGGGAGGACATGGAGCTGATCTGGCGCCATACCTTCTTCAACGAGCTGAAAGTTCAGCCCACCGATGCTCGGCGGGGACGGCTCATGTGCTCCTCGTTTTTTTGAGGCTCGGCGGCCCGTTTTGGGGATTGGTTTTAAAGGAGAAAGCACCCTGTTTGGGGAATTCACCCTGTTTGGGTTGGGTGAAAGGGAGCCAAAAGGGAATTCGAAGCCCAAGACAAACCTATGCCGGGCTAGGAATACACTCGTCAGGTCGTGGTTTCTCTGTCCCACAAATTGAGAATCTAAGGCGTTTGTGCGCGTTTGCCAAGCCCCACACACGCATGGCATGTGGATTGCCAGGGAATTGGATCGGAGAAAGACTCGACAAAGGAAGAAGGCATCCACATTCATCTCCATTTCCTGTTTACTTCATCTTTTTCTCTTTTTAGCAGTCAATGAATTCTCCGGAAGCGGCCGGGCGTTACAAAGGATACAAAATGAAGGAGAAAGAGATGAAATTTAGACAGGTGGATGAAGCCAGCCGTGGCATGGAAGGTCTATCATTCACTATTTCTTTCTTTTTTCCCTTTCATGTTCTCCAGAAGTGCTTTCCCTAGGATTAACTGGTTGGTTGGAAGGACATTATCCCTTTCTTTTTCCATTCCATTCACCATTGAAGATTAGACGAGTTGGAGGGAAAAAGAAAGAAAGAAAGACAAAAATAATCCCAACATGAAAGCCACTCAATGTCTGGTCAAATAAAATACCGTCAAAATTACTTCTGTTGAGTTTAGTATTTGGCGTTTCATTGATATTGTGAAAATGCACAAAACCATGACAAACGATAGGGGACGCTCAAAAAACGATAACCCCTGGAAAACGATCAAAACGCTGGAAAACGAAAGGGACTCTCAAACTAAGTAGCGAAACGGCCCTAAGTAAGTAGTTTCGACCGTGCCTCAAATCGGGAATTCGAGTCTCAACTCCCCGCTGTGAGGATCGGGCCGTGCTGCTTTCAGAGGCAGCCTTGAACCCCAAGGCGCAGAGGGGCGCCTGGCGCAGTTTGCGCTCGGGCGGCTTCTTGAGGCTCCCCAAGGTCTTTGTGGGTCGCGAAGAAGATTGGGCCCGTTGGCCGGAGCAAAGGTGCTATCATGGGACTGTACCCGAACAAGGTCAAAGCTTCAGTTTTGTCAAGCCATGTGGTATTCCCTTGGTCACGTCAGACAGTCGGCTCAAGAGCTGCAGTGCTGAACTGCTGAAATGGCGACAGCTGCCATGGCGCCTGGTACAGAGTTGCTGGCGCTGACAATTGCCATGGAGCCAGACAGGACATGCTTTCCCGCTGTCGCAGTTGTTTTTGCGGAGAGAGCATCACGTTGGTTTTGCGTTTGCAAGCGCGGCTTGAGTAGGTAGGGCTTGCCACGGGGGAACGTCAGGAGACGAGCGGTCTCCGACACGGAGATGGTTCAAATCAAGAAGGACTTGGACAGGCCATGCTGCGACTTGAACATGTACCCGACAAGCGTATCGATGAAATCACCATATTAGAGACTGGACATAGCTATGCCTTCAACACTCGGAATCATGTATAGCTGATGGGGGGCACGACCCAAACAACAAGAATTGTCTAACAATTGTGGCCCGTATTCGAAATGAACGAAATATTGATGTCCCAATTGAACGCAAGAATGGGGGCGCGCGTGTTGGGCTTGATTGAATGGGAGAAGGAAGCCCCTGCTTCGACTGCGCACAATGTGTTGGGTGGCACTGCCCTGGGTTCAGGCCCTGGCAGGCTCATGACTCAAGTGTGCGTTTCGCACCATGGTTTGTACGCCAAGAAGTCCCTCAACAGACTGGTGTCCTTTTTGTTGGAAGTTGAAGGGCTCAATGCCCATGCAACAACGCCTTTCTCTTCATACAAGCACCCCTTTGTGCGCAAAACTCTGAGAACCAGATGAACGGTTATGCCAGAATGCTTCCAAGAGAATTATAGTGCACTTTGTCCACGAAGGGTGCTCCGAATTGCATGGGTGAAGGCTGCTGGGGATGCGTGTCTTCTTGCGGTTCCGTGCAAACATGGGTCGGGTGGGTGCGAAAGCTCACAAGAAGGTTACATTGACATGTTTTGCGCCATGAATCAGCGTTTCGCTAGGCTCCCAACGTGGCTGGATGCTGACAAGCAGCCACAGATCTGCGGGGCCCTTTGTAGCTGGCTGGAGGCGCAGGATAACCTCACATACTGTCAGGGCATGCACGCCATGCCCGCGTCTTAGTTTCCAGAATCCTGCAGTCTGCCAGTCTGCCAGGCAGTCTTTGAAAGGGTTCTTAGAGGCATCGCAGGTCTCGTGTCCTGTTCTTTCCCGCTCTTTGCGAAACTTAGCCAGCTTGTGATGGCACAGACGCAGTGCCCTTGGTTCACTGAGGATGTCGGTGTGCATGCTGGTGGTGGAAGACCGTCCGGCGGAGGCGGTTCAGATCTTCGATGGCCTCGCCAGCAGCGTGGACAAGGACATCTTCCACGCGGAGAGCAGTCGGATGCCAGGGGCACTGGCAAAGATGAGAGCAGAGCTGATGGGCGTCCTGCGCGAGAAGAGCCCAAGGCTCCATGAGCGAATGGTGCAGGATGCGTTTCACCTGCATGTGGTGGATGCCATGATCATGGGCTGGACCTTTGACATGTTCAGCCAAAAGCTGGAGAAAGAGCCCTTGCTGGCTCTGTGGCAAGGACTGCTTGCATCCCAAGATCCCAGGAGGATGCTGCTGGAGTTTGCAGCCAACTTGCTCATCGACGGGCAGCCGCTCTTCACAGGCACGGAGCTCTCTGAGGCCATGGGCGTAATTCTGAAGCTTCCAGAGAGGCTGCAAACTGCAGCAGAGGTGGCGCGCATCATGAAGCTCGAGCCCGAGCCGGAGGAGGCGGAAGAGCCGAAGGAGCCGGTGGAGCCGGTGGAGCCAATGCAGCCGGAAAAGAATTCAGAGCCAGCAGCCCAAGCGGCGCCGCCTGTGCCCGTGCCCGCGCGCGGTGCCAAAGTGCGACGGCTCGCCACGAACTGCATGCCGATGCCACGCACGCGCGGCCCCTGGAAGGCCCTGGCTGTGGTGATCTTCCCGCTGGTCTGGGCGCTTGGCCCAAAGCCGCACGTGTCGCCGAAGCCGAAGCCGAAGCTGCGGATGCCACAGATCCGGATCCCGAGGCTAAACATGCCACGGCTTCCAATGCTGAGCCCAAAGAAGGCAAGGCCCCAGTGCCACCAGAACGTGCCACTGCCAGTCACAAAGCATGACTAATTCAATGATTCAAGAATTGCAACGGGGCAGTCCCACCCCTGTGGAGGAGGTGGGAGTGCAATCTTCCTTAATGCACTTAGATCACAGGTACAGGTTCCAGTTCCGCTTTGATCGACCTGTCCGTCGGGCCATGATGCGTTTCAAGAGAGGTGTGGACGGCGGAAGCAGGAGAAAAGCGGAGTGGCCTCCCTCAGAGCGATCTGGTCCCTAGCTTCTAATTCCACGGCAGACTGGAGAAAAGCTGTCAGCTCACCCATGCGCAGTTGGGGTATCCAATGCAGGCTAACAGGGAGCGGATGACGCAGATCATGTTTGAGGTCTTCTACGTCCCTGCCCTGTGCGCCGTATGTCCGAGCTCAGAAGAGCAAGTCTTGGGTGGGTCTTTCACTGGTTTTGTTTCCTCTTTTTTGGGATGGGAGATTCCCCAAGTCTACTACCAGACATCGGTTACGTTCTGTGCTGCTTTGATTTTGCCTTCAAAGCCGCTGCAAAGCGTCGGAAAAAATGGCCGCCACCAAAGGCTTGAGACCTTCCCAGCCCCCACAGCCAGTGCCTTGAGCTCCGTTTGAGACTTCGCGTCTGCGACTTCCATGCTCGTCGCGAAGGGTTGGGCTTCCAACACTGGAGGAAGTGCCAATCCTTGATAAGCCCGATTTTGGCGTTTTGCTTGGTCAGGAGCAGCTGCTGAATTCTCGAAGATCGCACGTACCACGTTTCCCTTTTGAACGTGGGATGCTCCCATATTGAAACAGACCCATGTGTATGAGGATCGAGGCTGACTCCGAGCTCTAGGTGGTTTTTTGTCACTTGAGGTACGTGGCCACCCAAGCGGTCCTGGCCCTTTATGCATCCGGAAGAACCACCGGGACTGGAGTTGAGACTTGACCATTGGAAGTCTACTGAGTATACTGCTATTTTGCGGAAAACATGGGGGACAACCCACATTTCTCAAGTAATCTTGCCCAGGGTTCATGTGACCCCAATGACCCTGCGTCGTGTATTTCAAGTTCCAGTCGTTTCCGCGCTGAGTATGGAATTAGTACACTAAACCGTTTGACCCGCAGGATTGTGTGTGACAGCGGCGACGGCGTCACGCACGTGGTTCCGATTTACGAGGCTCCAAGCACATAGCACGACTCAGACAAGGCAATGGCTGTGCTGTGTGAGGGCTTCCTCATTCCCCATGCTGTTGGGCGAGTCAACTTCGCTGGCAGAGACCTCACGGAGTGCGCAAAGGGTTTCTGAGGGCTCAAGACATGTGTTTGTGTGTGTTTGTGTGTGTGTGTGGGTATGCGTTGGGTGTGTGCTTTCTTGGGCCCGCTTTGACCCAAGTGAAGATAGGGAGGGTGAAAGGACCAAGTTGGTTGGCAAGCTCATAGCTTCCCGCGGCGCCAGAGGTACTTGATGAAGCTCGTTCAGGCAGCAGGCCCGTTGTTTCAGGAGGCTGAGCTCCGCTGACAGAGTGCACAACCAGTAGTTTCTTTGTCAGACGGAAGAACGTACGCTCAAGCTGACAGGAACCTCGCTTTCCACGACAGCCGAGCGAGCCGCTTGACAGCTGTGTTGGCTTGAAGGTGATGGCTCATATCATGTTTTGGGATTCATGGCTAGACGATGTCAGACGCTTCGGGTGGCTCAAATTGGCTCAGATGCCATGGCTTGGCTATCCGTACCACGAATTCAGCGTTCGTTGCTGAGGAGATTGCTCGAGTGGTCAAGGAACAGGCGGGGCACCGTGGCAAGCAGCATCTCTTTGAGACGAAACGATAGAATTGCAAATTCTATGCAATCAAGACGACGCTCAATGTCTCCATAAACATCCTGGCGGAGTGCTGGCTCATTTCCGCAGACTCCTTTCCAGATAGTGGTGCATATTCGGGGCGGCTGTTTGTGGGGGAGTGCAATAGATGGGCATGTTCGGAAGCTAATTGACGCGTGCTGCAGTGCTGCTACGTGGCTGAGAACTTCGAAGATGAGATGAAGAAGGCGCCGTAACGTGGCCTTTGGATGACCTGCTTGGCCATACGAGTTGAGACGTGGCATTAGTCATAAACTTAACCCCCCAAAAAACAATACAAGAATAAAGAAGCCTAGACCCCAGATAGCAAAACACATGCCAAGGATTTCACGCCAGCACCTCAAACAGCTCTCCAGGCAGCATCCCAAAACACCACCTGCACCAGCACCCCAAACTCCATGCCCCATTCCACCCTACCGTCAAGAGCGCGTGCACCGTCACCCCCCCCCCCAAAAAAAAAAAAGAAAAAAAGGAAAGAAGAAGAACAACAGCACCCTACCGTCAATCTTTAAAAGATAGCACCTCAAATGGCACCCCAAACAGCACCTACATACACCAGCACCCCAAACTGCACACCCCCTAACACCAGCCCATCAATCTCGCAAATCACTTTCCCCTCGTTAGAAGTTAGAACCCCTGTAGCTGAAAGCTCAGCTATCTGGGGAAAAAGCGGAAACAAATGGAACACGACTGCAGCGTGCAGGCTGAAAGCTCCGGCGCCTGCGAGCTGCTGCACGTTGCCTGGCAGCACTCTCGTCGGGTCGTCGGGTCGTCAGGTCGTCGGGTCGTCGGGTCGGGTGGGTCGCTGGGAGGAGCTGCCAGACGGCAACGAGCTGCGGATGAACAGCGAGCGCTTCAGATGCCCGGAGGCGTGGACCGCCCTCGACTCGAAGGGTTGCCCGCAGTTGGTCGGGGGTAACCCAAAGCCCTCGGGTAACGGCCGGGTTCCAGGCCTCGACAAGACGATCAGGGTTGAAAGTTGGTGTTGGCTCCTCTCACGTTCCTTTTCCAGGGTCTGTGAAGGGGTCTGAGAAGCAACCCTGAGCCTCTCGCAGTCGATGTTCGACCCCGCACTCATCGGACTGCCCGAGGCAGAGGCGGGCGTCGCACGTCGCACGTATGGCGCCTGCAAGCGACCGGCCAGGGCATCCACAAGCAGGTGTACCATGCCATCATGAGGCGTCGCCGCAAATGGCCCAAGATCACACCCAAAATGTCGTCTTGCAAATCATTTCCTTGTCGCGGTGACAGGGTCGACCTCGACATCCGGCGAGAGCTGTTTGCGAACATAGTTGTGCCGGGACCTTTAGCTTCAAGGCTTATCTTTGAGCATCTCAGACCGCTTGTTGCGAACTCGGAAGCTGTGAAATGAGACGCTCATCACAGGTCCGGTGGGTCAACCTGCTTCCCAGGCAGGCTGCTTGAGCTTGCGGAAGGTGCCATGCAGACGGCAGGCTTTGCGCGACGGCTGCAGAGTGAGCTGGCGGAGCTGACGCCGAACACTGTGCGGATTCGTTGGGGCCCAGAGTTCTCAGAGCTTGTGATCCGGACCAGACTTCAGTGGTGCCCGTTTTCTCTTCTTTGAGGGTCCCTTGAAGAAACTACTACAAAGGATTACAAAGGTGCCCTTGGCGTATTCTGCACTTGCCCGGCTTGAAGTGGCTGCGTCGCTCACGACGAAAGCTTTGAGGCGTTCTAGCACCCGATGACCGTCACTACTCTGTATTTATCGGAGGCGCGGGCTACTCTCTGGTGAGTTTTCGCTGACTGCACTATTTAAATTCGCAGATTGCCTCTTTCCAAACCGCCTGCTTTGTTTGTCAGAACTCAGTTGCAAGCTCGGCTATCCCTTGCCAGGCTCCATGCTCGCAGACCTGGACTTGTTCACGGCGCCTTGCCATGACGAGCAAAGCTTTGGAATCAGGCCTCAAGGCGTCAATCAGTTTGGAAGTCAGAGCCACTCCTAGCCTCCCATTCAGTCAACCCAGAGAAATCCATTCGAAGCCGCTGAAAAGCAAGGGAAGACATTTGTTCTGGTTTTTGGGGATGGATTTGGCTGCTCTGCTGGTTGGGCGCATTCCCCCCCAACACCCTGAATTGATCTTGATTGTTTTTCGTGGGGGGAGGAGTTGTGAATGGACAACAACAGCGGTGAAGCTGTGCCCAGGAAATGTGCGTGGCAAGAACCGAGTATTTGGAGCACGGGTGCGAAGCTTACAGACCAAGCAAGCAGGCGTTGAGGCGTGAGTGCTGGAATCAGGCCCACCATTATCCACAAGAAATGCTTCTGAGCTTCCAAAATGGAATATAAGATGACCTACATGAAATACAATACAGATCACGCTACCCTCAGGATTTGTTGCATTGGAAGTCTTAAAAATATGGTTTTGGTATTAGGGATGAAACGTATAGGAAAGTGGGTGGTTTTGTACTATAAGTAGGCTTTTCGATTTTGAGGCATTTTATAGATGGGGATAATCGGTGGGAAGAGGGGGGAAGAATTTGGCTCTTTTGTAATGGTTTTGTGTGAAGGGAATTTAAAGATTGATATAATAATGATAATTGATTTTTTATTTGTTATTTGTATTATGTTTTATATAATTACTAAATATATAGAATTTAAGTAACATATTTATTTATTTGTGAATGATATATGTTGTTTGTTTTGTCTTTAAGTAGTAGAGTTGGTTAACTGGTGATTTAGGTATGGATAGGTTTTGGTGTTGTTGGTGTTTATTGATGTTGTATGTTTGTAGGAATCTCCGAGGTAAACATAAAATGATATGTAGGATTAGGAATGAATTACGGAACTAATAGATAGGGTGGGTTGGGTTAGGTTTTGTTTGGGTTGGTTGGTGGAGAATCTCGTTTGGATGGTTGTTGGTTGGGGTGGGTTTGAGGGTTGGGTTTAGGTTAGTTTTATATATGTTGAGGTGAGGTCGGTCTTTTTGATGTTTTTTGGTTTGGGTAGGTTGTTGATTTTTGGGTAAGATATTGATTAAATCTTAAATACTGGGTTCGATTGACGGGTTTAGGGTTTGGTTTGAGCGGATTGGGTTAGGGTTTTGATGATATTTTTCTGGCAATAAACAACAATATGGTTGATGAATTTTGTTAAAAAAAAAAATATTGTTGGATAGGATTTTAGGGTTAGTAGGCATGAATGAAGGGTGTATGGGGGATGATGGATTATAGAATATGGGAAGAAAAACATTTAAATATAATTTTAGGAAATTAGATTTGAATATGTTTGGCCTTTTTTTTGGGGTCGAGATTATTTGATATTAAAATAATGAATTTTATATTTAGAGAAAATATGTAATTACAAATAATTTTGCTTAGAGTTTTTGTGACGTAACTTGGCCAAATTTTCCCGAATTTTGGGTCGCTTGTGGTGATACGATTCTTGGGTTTCCGGATATTACCCCCGTAAATTTCTTTAGAATTTTATGGCTTTCCGAAAAAAATAAACCGGGCTAAATTTCGGGGAAATATGGGAATTTCGTGCCGGGTGTTTCTCCGTGTGTTTATGTCTATCTATTTCGTAATCTCTATTTGTCTTTGTGTGTCTCTGTGTATCCCAATTTGCTTCTTTTTGGTGTTTGTGTCTTTCTGTCTTTGTTTGTCTTTATGTATCCGTATTTGTCGTTCGTCTCTATTATTTTTTTTTGTGTGTGTTTTTTTTTTTGCTGCGTGTTTGCGTCTGTCTATTTGGCAATGTCGGTTTATATTTATTTTTGTTTTCATATTTTTATTTGCTTATGGTTGTTTTTACGGGTCGGTTCACAAGGATGACATATTTCTGTGTAGCCGCGTTTTGTATCTAAGCTCCGATTTCTTCTTTTCGTTCTGCTTTTCTTTTTATTTCTGATTGTGTTTAGTATTGTTCTTGCTTACTTGCCTACGTCCTTCTCTTTCTCTCTTTTTCTCTTTTTCTTTTCTCTTTTTTCTCTCTTTTCTTTCTTTTTTCTTCTCTCTCTCCTTGGTGCCGTTTTATCGTTTATAGGATAAGGGAGAATTTGCTTAAGTTTTATTGGGACATCGATTAGTCTTTCTCGGGGCCGGAGGCACCTAGGGAACTATTACCTTTACCTCGGGCATTTTCGCTAGCAGCAACTCCTCCTGCTATGGTCTCTCTCTTTCTCTCTCTTTCTCTCTCTTTCTCTCTCTCTTTCTCTCTCTCTCTCTTTCTCTCTCTTTCTTTCGTTCTCTCTTTCTCTATCTCTCTCTCTTTCGTTCTCTCTCTTTTTCTCTTTCTCTCTCTCTCTTATTCTTTCTTTCTCTCTCTTTCTTTCTGTTTTTATCTTCTTCTTTTTTTCACTTTCTTTTCTCTTTTTTTCTCTTTTTCTTTATTTTGGTTTATTTTGGTTTTGTTTGTGCTTTATATTTTTCTTATTGGTTTTCCTCTTTTGTTTTTGTTTTTCAATCTTTTTCTCTTTCTTTTTGTTTTTTGGTTGTTCTGTTTTCTTTTTCTTTTGTTTCTCTCGTTTTTCCTCTCTTTTTTGTTCTTTAATTTTTGTTTGTTAATATTGCTATTGATGGAATTAATAATTTGTTTCTACTATTAATTATTTGATTATATATAATTTAAATAATATCTGGGAATTATTATTTTTATAAATTTAAATATTTTTAGTTTTTTTTGGATTATATTTGGAAAATTATTTATATATGTAGTATATTAATTATATGTATATTAGTATATATATATATAAATTATTATGTTTATTATTTGGAAAGATATAAATAATATATTTTAATATAATGTATTAGCTTTTAAATTCTGACAGATATTTATTTCGAGGATATGTATTTTATTTTTCTTAAATAATATATTTATTTGTTTAAACGAATTTGAGATTTAATACTAAACATATAAGTATAATATTCTATAGGAATTATACAATGGTGTTTTATTAATTATAATATAGTTTAAATTTAAATTATATAAATATATTGATTTTTATAGAACGAATATTCTAAGATGTTATGGATAGAAATGTTTTTTGATGTAAATAATTGAATTTATATTTTTTCGTTTGATTATTCTATTTAATATCCAATTATGAAGGTATAATATCTTAGATAAATATTATTTTATATTGTTATTTGTCTCTTTTCTATATTATATTTTTTAATTTATAAATTGAATTAATTCATTATAAAAAATCCAGATAGAAAAAAATAATAAACAGGAACTAATGGATATGTCTTTCCGTCATTTCTATTATTTATCATTATTTATAATAATCGACGGGAAAGATCTTAAACTAATCTATAAACATAATCCAAATAATTATAATAAAACAAATTAGAATATTAAAGATAAAGAAAGATACGAACCTAAGGAATATGCATGCCTGGTCTGGATAAGATTCGTCTATTTAATAATCTTACCGTTTAATCTGGGATTAGATTATGGTCATTTTCTTTATTCTTCTTATCCTCCCATATTCATTAGGTGCGACAAGGTTCTTGAAATCTAGGATTCTTTTATTGTCCTTTGAATCTTTGCTTTTCTATTCTTTGTCATCTGGTCAAGGTAAATTCTAAGTTGAGGAAAGAAGAAAAATAAGAAATCTATCTATCTTAGATATATCCTCATCTCATTATCCCAGATATAGAAAGGTAATAAATGGGACAGAGGAAAAAATATTCTATCTACTACATCTATTTCCCTTAGGAATGATATAATAAAAATATTTGGAAAGGAATAAAAATACATATTAAAAATATAAATATAAAAAAGAAGAAATATTATAAATCCTTAAAATATAGATCTAATAGATAACAAGGAATAGATTTTGAAGATGAAGATAGAAATCCATTGAATACCTAAGTAGTTTACCTTATATTATTTCCTCCAACCAATTATTTTAAAATGGAGGAGAATAAATGAAAAATTAACGGTGGAGGAAATAAGAAAGAAATATAATTTTATTATTCCATCCATCCCATAATTACCCTACTATTATATAATCTATATTTTACAATTAAGAACGAAAACTAAATCATAATCAAACCTAAAAGAATTAAGATTAAGAATAATAAAAAACCAAATCATAAATAATTGTAAATATATACATATTTTATTTATATAATGTTATAAAATTTAAATATAATTCTAAATAAATTATAATTCAATACCCATTACCGAATTAATTTTAAATATAACTTAAAGATAGATATTTATACTATTTAAGAATTAAATACAATAATATAAATAAATAAAAACAATAAAATATAATATATTATTACCATATAATATATTATTATAATATATATATATATATTATTTCTATATATAATTCAAATAATAATCCAAACAATATATAATATTCGCAAAAAAATAATAATAAAATCATAAAACCCTAATATAACCCTAATCGAATCCTCACAAAACCTAACCTCAAAATCATTCCGAACCAATCCAAAACCTATCTAAATTAAATTTCAAAAAAATAGTTAAACTATAATTCACAAAAATTCAATCAAATAAACCAATTAATATAAATAGTTAGTATTATTAAATTTAAATATAATTTCAATTTAAATATATGTATATTAATAATTATAGTATTTTACATATATAATATATTTTTTAAAAAATACACCATATTTATTAATTCAACATAATTATACTATACAAAAAACCCATTAATTCCATCAATAACAATATCAACAAAAATTCAAAGAAGGAAGAAAAAAAGAAAGAAACAAAAATAAATAAAGAGAGAAAAAAACCAGCAAAAAACAGGAAAAAACAAAAAATATTCTTTAAAAAAATAAAAAACGAAAAACAAAAAATAATAAGAAAACGAAGAAAGACCCAAAATAGAGAAAAAATTAAAAACAACAAACAGGAAAAACAAAAAGAGAGAGGAAAAAGAAAAGGAGAAAAAGAAAAAGAGAAAGAACAAAAAAGAGATAAATAAAAAAAGAATAAAAGAAAGAGAAAGATCCATAGCAAGAGGAATTGTTGTTAGCGGAGATGCCCGAGGTAGAGGCAATAGCTCCCCAAGGGTGCCTCCGGCCCCGGAAAAGAGACCAACCAATACCCCAATAGGACCTAGACAAGCTATCCCTCATCCTGTGGGCGATAAAACGGCATCAAGGAGAGGGATAAAAAAAAGAAAAAAAGAGAGAGAAACCTTGTTCTTTCTCTCTCTCTCTCTCTCTCGTTAAAATCGGTGGTTATTTTGCTTACAAGTGCAAGTGCTGTAGTATTCACACAAACAGTCAACCAATGTAGTCTACAGCTGCCAATCTTTTGACTCATGCGGGGTAGTAA